CCACTCAGATTCCCAGGACGAGGACGCTCGCTGGCTCGCTCGGGCCATCGTCAATCGCCCCTGTGCAGACAAGGTGACGGATGGTGGTGACCTTGTCTCAGGGTGATCTTATCTGAGGCCAATGATCTGCGCTTGTTTCTCTTTAACAAAAGAACCCCGTGGCCCAGCTTCCGCCCAGTGCAGAACCCTCTACCCCAGGAGAGGGAGCACACACAGCCGCACGGGGCTCTAGGCCCTGGTCTGGGTGGCTGCTGGTGGGGGGCCTCAGATGCCCAGGAAGAGGTGGGGTAGAGAACAGGAGGCAATAGAAGTGAGCGCGGCCACAGCCTGGAGATGCGGCAGCTTCCCCTCCCGCCTCGTCTTCAGGATGTTTGCTCCCAGAAGCCAGCCACCGCGTGGGAAGGAGGCTCAAACCCCCTTCCCCACCAGGGGAGGCGTCCAGCCGGGACCAGGAGGCTGAGCAGAATGCCCGCGGCCGTTCTGAGCGGTGCTGTTGCCGTGCGGCCTTGCCCAGGCTTTCTCTGCTGCTGCTCCCGGAAGGTCAGATGCACTGGCCCCTGGCCTCCAGCTCTGGGACCCCGTGGCACAGGGCCTCCCTCGGAGCTCAAGCTGCCAGCAGCCATTGCCGCCTTGCAGCCGCCTGGGGCAGCCCCTCCCCCCCTACCACCCCTACCCCCGAAGCAGGCCTGAGCCTGTCTCAGGTGTGGAAGGAGCTCCCTGGGTGCCTGCTTACTAGGACCGTGCAGCTGTCAGCGCAGGACAGAGGGCCAGCGGCATGGGGTCTGTGCTGGGCAGGGGGAGGCCAGCAGGGAGCACGGAGGGAGGGGAGCGTGGAGAGCAGGCTGGCACACTTAGGGGGGTTCGAGAGCCCCCTTCCTCCCCTGCACACGCTGGCTGGCGGGTGTACTGAGCCCCTGGATGCCTGGCCCGCGGGCACTGCTTCCTGCTGCTTCCCTGGCGCAGCTGGGCGGTGGGCACACAGCCTGTCCCCAGCAGGCGCCCAGCCCTATCACCACAGGGAGCCCTCAGCCAGTCAGGTGTCAGGACCCAGCACACGAGCGCCTTGGCCAGGACCGTCCTGCTCTCCCAGCCTCGGGCTCCCATCTGTGAGGGAGGCGTCAGGCCAGTGTCTCCTGCAGGTGGAATTCAGAACTGTCCTGTCCGTGTGTTCAGTGCACCCACCCTTAAACCTTGACTATGTCCAGGCCCAAGCTCACACACAAGAAGTCAAGCGGCAGGAAGACATAACCACAGCCGGGCTCCCAGAGGGCAGAGGAGTCCCAGGCACAGTCCCAGCTCGGGAGGCCTGGCGCGCACGGGGCTGGTCGTGTCGCCTGCTCCCGCCCTCTGTGTGTCTCCAAGTGGTCACTTCAAACCTGTGACCAGTGGCTCGATGGCATCTGAAGTGACTCCATGGTCTCCTCCTGAAAGCCCAGGCGAGCCTGGCTTGTGCGGGTGCCTGGCAGGGTGGACACTCTGGTCAGGGTTCGGACCAGGGTGGTGAGTGGGCTCCAGGCCACGGCTGCCTGCATAAGGGCACCAGCTCTTCCTGTGGAATGCCGGGGCCTGTGCGTGGAGGGTACCAAGTAGCCTGGCAGAAAACGCTGGGGGAAATTCTTTTAATTTTTATTTATTTTTTTAAAATTGATTTCAGAGAGGAAGGGAGAGGGAGAGAGAGAGAAGCATGAATGATGAGAGAGAATCATTGATCGGCTGCCTCCTGCACGCCCCGTACTGGGGCATGAGCCCCCAACCTGGGCAGGTGCCCTTGACGGGCCAACGCTCTGGGGGAAATTCTTTTCTCCCCAAATACCTCGCTCTTTGGAGCTACAAGCTCAGATTGCTTTTGTTTTTAAAATAAAGCGTAAAAGAGGCAAAGCCCCCGAGGTCCCCGCTCATGTGACTCTCACCTCGCAATGGAGCTTCTTGGACTTGGAGTTGAAGTAAAGATGAAGAATATTTATTTAGAGAAAAACCAGAGGCATTTTACAATCCTAGTTATGACTGAACTTGAGGGAAACACCAATAACCACCTCCCCTACCGGCTGATGCCCGGCTCCCTCAGGCCACCAGTGCTGTGGGTGCTGTGCCAGAGGCTGGGGCTGAGGCAGGCAATGCCTCCGCTAAACTGGTGGGGAGAGGAGACCGCCAGACTAACCCTAACCATCCCCCCGATATCTCTGGCAGCACGTGGAAGCCCCTTTTACAGAGCACAACACTGAGGCCCAGGACTTTCAGACTCCTCCCCCTGTACCAGCCTCCTTGGCTCCTTACCCCAGACTGTGTGCTCCCAGCTGCAAACCTAGAGGGGGAGTAAGTAATGGGGTGGGAGCTGGACCCCCAAATGCAGAGAGGTCAGGCTGTAGTCAGTTCCTCGGCATCTGTGCGGGGCTCTCCTTGCCGCCCTGCCAGCTGCCCACATGTTGTCTCCACCAAGGAAGCCGTATGTTCTCTCCCACTCGCAGACATGGCACGGGCTTTAAGGTCAGAGCATGCCTGTGCTGGGCAGGCATCAGGGAAGGCTCCCTGAGGAGGTGGCTGAGCCCGAGGGCAAGGAGACACCAGCCCAGCACCACCCAGGCACTGCTCCGGGTCTGGGCTGGGACGCAGAGAGCCTGGGGAGCTGGGAAAGCCCGGAGCAGGTGGCAGGTGCCCAAGTGCAAGCGCCGTGCCATCTTGGAGTGGGTTACCGCCTCCCTTGTCTCAGGAGGCGACAGAACCTTCTCTAGCCCTCAGATGAGAACGTTAAGGCCCCGGCACGGGGAGGCCTGTCAGGTGGGGAGAGGTGTGTAGAGGGCCCAGCTGGTCTATTGTCTGTGATGGGCTAACCTGGCCTAGTTTCTCTCCCTGTGCCGTCAGCATTGCCGGCACCCTCCCGGAGGCCCTGGGAAGGTGCATGGGCTGCGAGGCAAGGCCCATCCTGGCCGGGCTTCCACCTCCAGAACCAGCCCCAGGGCCTCCCCCGTGCGCCCCGCGACGGCCTAGACAGCAGGTGGGTCCTGAGGTGTGGCAACACGTATGGCTTCCTTGGCACAGGAAGGAGGTCCCGGGCCACCCAGCTCCCAGCTGGTGCAGGTCGAAGCTGGCCCACGTGCTTGAACACCAGACCGGGTAGCTCAGCCACCAATGGCCGAGAAAACATGTCTGTTGTGGACTGAACTGTGCTTAAGTCTTAACCCCCATCCCTCAGAACACGCCCTCTTTAGAGGCAGATGCAGGCAAGTTAGCGAGGTTGTTAGGGGCCCTAACCGAGCAGCACGGGTGTCCTGTGCAAAGGGGAGTGTGGACAGATACACACCTGGGACAAAGCAGCCATGTGAAGCCCGCAGTGCTGCTGCCACAGCCGAGGAACCACTAGAGGCTGGGAGGGCCTGGGCCAGACGGCCCTTCCAGAACCCACTCCGAGTGCGGCCTCCGGGGCCCCGGACAATACTTCTGTGGTGCTCAGGCGCCCAGCCTGCGGCACTCCCTACAGCAGCCCCGGGAGGCACGTCCACCTCCCGGCCAGGCTTGGATTCAGCAGGTGGGCTCCTGGCGGCCTGGGCCAGAAAGTGGTCCTGTGGGCGGCCCGCGGGCAGCTCCCACCGGCTCCAGCCTGCAATTCCAGGGCCACCGAGCGTCCCCGAGCCGGTCCCCTGCCTACAGACAGCTGCCCTCCGCACAACCCTGTGCACAGGGCTCAGACCCAGTGAGGTCACAAGGCCCCAGAGGTCGGCTCCGGCCACTCAGCAGGGAATTCTGGGGTTCCGGGTCCCCAAGTTTGGTCGGGGCCGGGGAGTTAAGAGGCCCCTGGGGGCCCTGTAGACTCACCTGGCCTCCCGATGTGGCAGGCGGGGCTTGGTTTCACATGGAGGAGCTGAGGAACGTCCTCCGGTGTGGCCCGCACGTCCGCAGTGGGAATGGGAGACAGGGGAAACCAGCCTGACTCGCTGTCATACTGAACCTCAGCTCCCGCCGGGCTCGGAGAGCGGGGCCCCAGGGACCACCCACTTATCGCCGCCACTGGCCAGGCCTCCAGAGCCAGTCCCGTCCACGGGCCCCCTTCCCACACCTCCTGTGCCAGCCACACTAGCGGGTCCCTCCAGCTTCCAACGTGCGCAGACGTCGGGGCCTTTGTTAGGGCTGCAGGACCGCCTACAGCACTCTGCCCGCATGGCTCCCGCTCAAAAGCCGCCCTGAGCCCTGTGTGGCTCCAGCTCGGGCTGTGGTCTGAGCCCCCCACCCTCGTGGTGTCCTGGGCGGGGATGGGGACCGGGCAGGCCTTTTCAGAGGGACCAGGGCAGGATGGGCGGAGTCAGGAGAGGGCGGGTCCGCGGCTGTGTGCGCTGGGCGCGCTGCGCCAGACCCCAGGGTCCGAATCCTGCCCCGCAACCCAGGCGTCCCCGAGTGAGGCGCACAGTGCCGACCCCTGCCCCCGAGGGCCCGGCCCACAGTGACACAGTGGGGTCCC